TTATGACCACATCAGAACATTATTTGATGGTGCAAATTCTTTGCAGAGTGAAATTAACACTTGTGAGCAAGCTTTGGTAATATTTTATTAAACAGCTTTAAGAAATTGAATCATGAATCTATTAATGAGCATTTCACAATTCTTTTTTTTTGCTTTCCTTTATTTTTCAAATCAATTGTTCTGCACAAAACAATTAACAAAGTTCCTTTAAAAAAATTCCTGAGTAAACTTTTCAGACAGAAAAGAGTAAAGCTGAATCATTACATTTCTTTAAATGTAATTCAATTTTTAATTCATTCAGAGTTTGTGAATCAGCTTGATAGATCACAAGCTATTTATCATTTACAAATATTTCATGAATGATTATATCATGAAAATGTTAATTCCATCTCACTTGTCCAGTTATATATTATTTCATTAGCTTTTTCTTTTTTTTCAAAACTAATGTCCTGTGTTATTCATACATCATTACTTCAAACTATTTTAGATAATGAACCAAATGACTCATTTGGAATCAATGTTCCAAGGTCCAAAGTCAGATTTTTTCCTTTTCCTATGAGATACTAGAATGATAATTCTAACAGCTGTGTTAATTTTGCAGGCCAGTATTTAGTCTTGCTTTATTTAATGGGTATACATGAAAGAGATTGGCTCCTATCTGATCTCTCTCTCACACACATACACTTTAAGGGAGTTGGAAAATTACTCTTGAATACTTTTTCTTGAAAAACCAAGTGTTGGTATGATGATATACTAATCGTATCTATGGCAGGTCACCACTACGGGGCGAGCAGTAATTGCTAGAGCTGACTTTTTAAACTATTTGAATATTATTGGGTTATAATATAAATTTTTTTTTTAATTCTTCACTTTGTATAGGAAAGGACCTGTGTGAAAATGATCAAATTTTAATTTTCAAGCCTACACAGTGGTAATGTAAGGCATGATTATTTTTAACAATAAGAGAAACTAGGGAAGGAATCTCAAAGAAATTTTGCTGTGTTTGTAAAGGGAACAAAATTCAGTCAAATGTCTTCCTAAGGAAGATGCTTTTAGTACACACTATACTTTGAGTTGGTGGCAGCCTGTATTTAGAGTTCTCCATGATCTTTGATGCAAACATAAGCTGGACTTATGACCTTGTTACAGTTATGTAATTTCACAAAATGCCTTGGGCATAAAATGTTTATACAAGGAATTGTGGGTTAAAATACGAATACTTTTTAAAGTTAGTAGAAATGTTGATGCCTGGCTCTTTCCTCCTGAATAATTCAGCAAAGAACACTTGATTCCCAGAGCCCTTACCTCTCTGTCTGTGATAAAGCCCCGCTGCTTTGTGCTGGCTCAAGACAAAGCCAGCAAGAGAAGCACCTGCTTGTCCCTCCAGGACCTGCCGCAGAGCGCGCTGCTGAGCAACAGTGGCATGAAGGTGCCGTGTTGACGTACTGAAGATCAGCATGAGAACATTTGAACGTTACTTGCCTTATAAGTTAGAAAAGGTATGGATATCATTTTTTGTAAATAATGATTTTTACAAATGTTTTTTTCCTTCATAATTTTCCCAATCACCCATTTCACCAATCCTGAATATGCAATTATTGATCATGCACATTACTGCAAGTCAGGTTCCCATTTCAGAACAGAGTGTAATTATATGTGACAACAAGATGGAATATCTGAGTGAATGTTTAAATGTGGGGTTTCTTTTTCCTGAAAAATAAAAACCCTAAAAATAAATACAGCTGTGAACCTCTTTTATTACCAGCCTCTTAAAATTTTGGCCACGTTTTTGGAAAACTTTACTGCAGGTTTAGGTTGGGCAAGGTGAGAAAAACGTCTGACACTGTGCAAGGGCACTGGAGTGGGACAAGTCCCAGCTCTATAATTTAACAATAGACTTGAGCATGTTAATCAACGATTCTTCATTTCCTTAAAAAAAAAAAAAAAAATGGAGGCCTGGCCAGGTAGCTCAGCCCGTTAGAGCACAGCACTGCTCTCCCTGCTCCCCCCTCCCACCACACCCCAGCGGATTGGCTCTCCTATCAGGGCACATACAAGGAGCAACCAATTAATGAATGCATAAATAAGTGGAACAACAAATCGACGTTTCTCTCCGCCCCCCCCCCTTCTTCGCTCTCTAAAAAATTTTTAATTAAAAAAGAAACTTTTTAAAAAACGGAGTTACTAATGCCACTTTATCATAGGGTCATTGAACAGAGTAAATGAGATAATATTCATCAGTCGCCTAAACCTTCTTATCCTGTGCCCAGTAGATATTCAGTAAGCAATCCTTTCCTGTTCTTATGTGAATAGGGTCTGAAATGAGCCAGAACACTTTAATGTTCTTTCGCAAACACTGCCATAGCCCTCGGGCCTCTCCTGTTACGTCAGCGCGTTGCTGTTGTCAGCTGATGCCAGCTGCACTGCGCACTCAGCATGTGCCAGGGAGGTGCTTAGAAGCATGGCCCTATTTGTGCCGCCCCTCCACCCCCCATTGCCCGCTAGGTGAGCATCCCCTCAGAGTTCGCTGTTTGCTTTGGGTTGAGGAGGGGGTTCTGGGGTTAGGAAGGGGGTCGTTATTAAGGAGAAAGGGTCTGTGAGTTCCGTCAGGTAGGTCCTCAGCTCCAAACCACCTCCATTTCAAATTGCTGACACTTTCAGGAGCTGGGAAGAGTGGTGTCCAGGAGAAGCCCATGAGTCCCAGGGGGCCCCGGGCACGCTGTTCAGTATCTGAGAATCTCAATTTTCTGCATCTGTAAAGGAAGGGCAAGCCTTTGACACAGCTGTTGGGAATCCTAAATAAAGCAATAAAGCTAAAACGGCCAGTACCTGGTAAGTGTAAGCTCTCAGCACCCCTATCCTCAGCCAGCTGCGCCTTGCGAGCGGGCGGTGCAGAGCGGGGCAGGAGCCTGGGTGAGGGAAGGGTTGCTGGACTTTCTCTTTGGTCGCGGATTTCCGGTCCTGGGGAGCTCCGCAGCTCCCACTCCTGCCGCGGACATGTGCGGGCAGAGGACCTGGATGAGGACTCCTGGGGCTGCCTTTGGAGTTTCAGATGTCCTCCTCCCAATGGCATGACCCGGTTCCCCTCCGGGGAGCAGCCGGGCCTGGGCGGCGCCTCGGGCAGGGAGGATGGACCCTTGATGTCCTTGGGCGGCTCAGGGGGCCACGCAGCTACCCTCGCCCCGGGGCGGGCGGGCGGAGGGCTCTGTTTGGAGGCGGTCACCCGGGAGACAAGCCGTGAGTCCAGGGGGAGTGGAGGGAGGC